AAGGTAATTAGATTATGTGGTGATTTATTACGTATTTTTGGAGCCTCAATTCCGGACAAGCCCGATTTTAAAAAGTCAAGAGACTGAAAGGAATTTCAAACGCGACGGAATGACTGGAAAATGATGGAAAAGTTTTGCCACGTCGGTCAAGTCCCTATCTCCTCACATCTTTCACTCATGTATGCTCAAATAAAACGTTTTTAATGTGGAATTATTGCTTGTCAACTACAGATAACATGAATGAGATTTGATTTTTTTATTCTCAAGCTACAGTTTCGACTTTACTATCGTTTTCATGTACAAGGAGGAAGAAGACATTTGACGTAAGTCGTAGAAATCCGTGCCCGCTCCTGATTAGTGCTCGATGACATCATTCGGTTCGGCGCGAAAACGGGGCGTCTTAAATTTGCGGAAACGTTGTGCTTGGTCGACAGAGCACAGAGGAGAATTTCATGAGCCACCCTGCGCCGTCCTCAGCGCGCATGGTGCACGACCCGCCTTTCATTATTACACCTCATCTGGCGTTGGGAGTTCACTTACTACTTAACACGACCAGTGTGTAATTTTGAAAGTCGAAAATTAAAAAAAAAAAAAAAAAAAAATTACACGATATACGAGCTTCTCCGCCAGGGAGCTCTCCCCGTAAGAAATCGTTCACCACCCGCCCGCGTCGGAGACGCCGCCGTAGCGCGGCCGGCGTGCTGCCAGCGCAAAACGCGCACTAACGTCTACAAACCTAAAGGGCTATTTTAAGCATTGCGCAATGCTTGAAGTATCCATTTAGGTCTGTAGGCGTCAGTGTGCGTTCCGAGCTGGCAACGGCAGCACGCCGCGCCGCGCCGCAACGTGCCATGAACTTGCCCACGATTAATAGGTCAGGGTGTTAAAATGTAGGCAATTTGACATCAAATTTGAAATTAGCGACTCATAAAAACATCAGTTACGAAACTTTCGTGAACTTTCAGTCATTATCCGACTTATTTATTCCTATCCTGGAGTTTTGGACCATAGTGCGCCGCGGACGGCGGCGCTCATGAAATTCTCCCATGTGCTCAATCGGTGCTTTGTGACGTGTATATTTCCCAGTTTCTAAGAGGTACTTTTTCTCATATCCAATGTGCACATCGTGTTTGACGTGTCCTTTCCCTTTGAAATAATGTACTCGCGAGTCAAAATTCGTTCATGGTTTACTAGCCCATTCTGATGTGCTAGGGAAAAACGCCAAATGAACCTTCAGGCGTTGCGAAATTTTCTTTGATGAAACACGAATTTCCTAATGAACTTGTAAATATTTTCCTTCCAATTTTTCAGATGATTTTGCTCGTAATTTCACCTGAAATTCCTGACAATTTCAAGGAAGAATATTCATAACGTTCCGCATAAATAAACATTATATCGAAGGAAATTTGGCAACTCTCAAATGTCCATACGGCGTCCTTCCTTAACACGGCAGAATTGCTCGGTGGTAAAATTCGTCCACCCTCGAGGACTAGAATCCGCCAGTAACTGATTTTCCGAAAATTTGGCGGTTACGCCCTAGCTCCTTCGAATAACCCGTTCAGTCACGGAACGCTCCGAGGAAAAAAGCTGATTAAGGAACGACTATGAAAACAGCCCCATGAAAGGAAAACGGCTGTCACGGGGGAGAAAAAACACTTATCTTGAGTCTATTCCACATGTATGACACGAAAGCGGGGTAGATAAAGCGAGCGCCGCTCGTCTCGCCCAGTGCGCCTACCCTCCGGATCCGGATGCATGGCTCCTTTGAGCCTCAGGTCGTCGCCCGTTACATGGAAGGTGTCTTTTCCTCCGCGAAATTGTGTTACATACATTAATTCTTTGTGTCGCGGAAGGTAAAAAAATTACAACAGCGGGAATCCCTCTGCCTGCATAGAGAACAAAAACAGTGCTGCCATTTTATTTTATCAAAATATTCCGAAATATTTCCGATTCCCGGAAACATATTCCGATTTGCCAAAGTTCCGAGAACAATTCCGATTTTTTCAAAAATCCCGGGGAAAAATTCCGAAATACACCCGGGGTTAGTTCCGAATATCGTCAAATTTGATCAAAAAGCCCCTAATTTGATCAAATATATGATCAACTTGGCGAAAACTGCAAATTTCGAGGAAATTCCGAAACTAGCTGAAAATTCCGGGAATTCAGAAGATTCCGGGAAAATTCCGATTATTTAAAAAGTTCCGAATTCCAGAATTAATTCCAGGAAATGGCAGCACTGGTCAAAAAAACCTCCGTCAAATGCACTCACCATATCGACGGTGAAAGTCGGCAATCACATAACTCGTTTGCGGTGTCTGAAAATCTCCGACTCTACGTCATTTTTTTAAAGGAGAACAAATTGACATTATTTCTTGAAGTTTTTGCAGAATTTTCTTCGCATTGAGAAGAAAAATCATGACGGTTTTAAAGAATTGCCGTTGAGTAGTTTTCCATTTAAAAAATAAAGTATGACAGGAAGTCTGCGACGTCGCAAACCGAGTTATGTGATTGCCGAATTACACCGTCGATATGCAATATCAAAGTTGTTGATGCAACGAGCTAATTATTGGAATTGGACTACGTTTACTGTTTACGGCTCAGTATAGAAACAAAGTATGTACCATTGGTTTCCCTATTCACATAAGTGTTTATACGGATGAGTCAGAAGTTGTAAGTCCTGATTGCAAAATGTATATGGTCCGATTGATGAACGAGCCTATGGAAAGCAGAAGAGGACAAAGAGGAAATGAAGCGATCCTAATGGTGGAAACGAGTGGTTGCAATGGATAAACGAGGTAGGTACAAGAGTTATTTACAACAACCAACAAGAGACGGAGGGACCGGACCCTATAGTTAGTCCACCGTTTTCCCCTTTGTAGTCTATAACAACCATCCGTTTCAACCAACAGGATCGTTCCATTTTCCCTACGTCCTCTTTGTCGATCGCTTTGTCTGTCAATGTCAATAATAGCTCGCAGGTATTCGTAGTTTTCGGTCGTTGGGACCTGGGACCTACTGGCAAGTTAAAACAATTAGAAAAATTATTAAATGTGATTTTATGATAATTACAACGTATTATCCTGATCAAAATCATCTTCAGTTAGCTTCGGCTCACCTGTAATGTACTCGCGTAAATGCTACACATCGTCTCTGAGGTTTCGCACTGAAAGAAAACATTGAAACCGTCTGCAACAAAATCTCGAACCGAAAATATCACTGACAAAAGGATAGGTAAAGAGGGGCAGTGGGTAGTAAAAGAGGCGAAGAAGTTAAATGGGCCCGTGAGAATAAACGAGTTTAAAATGGATTAAGTGTAGCTACGGAATCTACTGACACGAAGACTGAATTTTAAACTCCAATATTAGGACGAAATTAGCTTTGATGTTGTGTAAGTGCTCTTACAACCCTCAGCCGAGTTTGTTAGAAATGATGATGGTTTTTTTTCCCACGGATGTCTTAACTTCATCATGCTTTTTAAACTGGAAGAGAGGAAAAAGAACCAGAGATTCGGTTAGTGCCGGATTTCAAGCGCAAAATAAGAAAAACCCTCTGTCGATTCTAATTTTTCTCGCGGTCTCTCCATTGTTTCTGTGCCAAAATCAACACAACTATGTCTTAAGTTTCATATTATACAAGAACACCATTTTTCATGATTCTTCGATCGAATTTGACGATTTTTGGAACTTATAATCCAGGCGTATTTCAACATATACCTCGGAACTTTTGAAAAGTACGAATTCTTCTCGGATCCTTCGGAAATCGCAATTAATTTCGGGAACCCCAGAATCTTTGGTAAAATAAAATAGCAGCACTGCATCTCACAGAGAAATTGACCCTCGAACCCATCTCCATCTTGATCTGTCTTGAATTTTTTTATTTTTTTATTTTATTTTTTTTTATTTATTGTTTTTTTGGCGAATTTAAAACTGAGCGGTCAACCCCTGGTAATAGTGATCGCACGATTAGCTGCGATTCGATCGGATAATTTATGGCGATTTTATAGATGTCAATGTATTGCGACAGTATTGGATAAAGGATTTCGATAAGTTACGGTTTCATCACATGAAATCGCGATTTTATCGACGGCGATTCATCGCAATATCATCGAACAAAAAATCGTAATTAATTCGGATAAAATTTCGATTCGATCGAACGCGGTCTAATGGAGGTAAAATTGCGACAAGATCGGGGATAGTCGCTCCGATGTTGATGCACGGAAACAATTAAATTGCTGATTCAACAATTTTGTAGTTGAGAACAGTGACCACAATGTTTCAATGTAGATTTTACAGCACGAAAATGCTACTTTATCCACCCACAAGGTCAAATTAGCTTTTCACTGTTGTAAAATGTACATTTGAAATATTGCAGTCATTTTTTCAACAATTGAATTGTTAAATCAGCAATCCATTTTTTCCTGTAATAACCATATTTCGCCCAGTGATCCTGGCGATTTAAAAAAAAAAAAATTAAAATCGCAACTGAATTTCAAAATTTCGCGATTTTCCGGTTGAAAACTGCAACTTGGTGAGGAGAATCTAAGTGTAACTTACCAAAAACGTGGTTCAGATAACATTTCTATCTTATCGAACGCGGTGTAGTGGCGATAGAATTGCGACAAGATCGGGGATAGTCGCTCAGCTGTTGATGATCCTGGCGATAATATCGCCGGAAAATCGTGGAAAAATCGCAACTGAATTTCGAAATATCGCGATTCTCCGGTTGAAAACTACAACTTGGGGAGGAGAATCTGAGTCTAACTTACCAAAAACGTGGTTCAGATAAAATTGGCATTTTAACGAACGCAGTTTAATGGAGATAAAATCGCGACAAGATCGGGGATAGTCGCTCAGCTGTTGATTAGCTGTTGTCAGTTGTTGCTGATGACATTATCTCCAAAAAATCGTGGAAAAATCGCAACTGAATTTCAAAATTTTGCGATTTTCCGGTTGAAAATTACAACTCGGGGATGAGGATCTGAGCAAGGACGAAGGACTTACCAAAAACGTGGTTCATAGGGCGCGAGCGTTGCCATCGGGAAGAACGGCGAGGATCCGTGGACGCGGGCAAGTAGGAGAGCGTCATATCGTCGCCGGGACGAGCCAGGAAACTCCGGAGATAAACATGATCCGAAAACGACGGACGCTCGATTCGCGGGAGAGGACGACGACTCGCGACTCCGGGCCCAATTCCACCGTGGTCCTCGCAAAAATCCAACCGGG